TCGAGGGCAGTAACACTGAGCTCGTGAGGTTGACGGCGATGTACATTTCTAGATCACCTCAGTCGACTTTCTTGGATTGCATGGGATATCCGTGCGATGTTTTCGCAGCGAGTGCAATCTGTCTCATTTGAGACCAAAACAGTACTTCACTCGAAGGATGGTCCTGAAGCAGTAGTGGTCCAAGACTTCCATTTCCTGTTCATTTTCCACACGCATAGCCCAGCAATCTCATTCGTATAGAAGAACGGGCCGTACAGTTGCACGATACACGCTAACCTATGTGGAGATAGAAATACCTAGTCGGGTCCATAGGCACTTTCGAAAGCTGGCGAAAACTCGTCAAACTGCGTCAATCCTTACTCTGCCCATTTGGTAGCAACTCCGCTCGGAAGGAATTGAAACCATCTACTTTTTCATGGTACTTTCTTTTAGGCAGGGATGCAGCGTGAAAACACTTTGTTCTTCCCAGCTTTTATGGACAAATCGACCGATTTCGCGACCCCGCTCACCCGTGGCACCACAGGCGTTAGATCGCAAAACCTTGAAGCTAGCAAAGCAATATCGTAGGCATAGTCGAGGTCAGTCAACCGGCGCCCGGGTGCAAGCTCAATACCGTCATTTCCGGTAGGGCCTTCCCGAGAACCCAGTCAATGGCGTAGTTAACCAGGATGGTTTTTTGATTCGGACCAAATTTTTAAGTGAGATTGTAATAGCGAGTATAGTGCAGTCTTTTCTTAAAGTATTTCTGTCTCGCCAGGATGCCGGCTTTTGAATAAGCTTCTGTCTGCTCGTTTGCAGCGAGGTATATTTTCTTAAAAGTAGCTACTTTAGTAATATGTTTTTTCTAATAGATTTTAATTGTCCTTATAAATTTGCATATATTTTACAAAGACATTCTTTCTTATACTCGTTTCGTAGCAAAAAAGAAACGATGTCTTTCGATTAAAAAACTTAAAATGAATATAGAATCGTAGGTTTTCTCTCCATCGGATTGACCGATATGTGACTGTTGACAACGATATAGTAGACGGACACGTTGACGTAATCGTTGGCTGATGATATTTGAGGGCCACTTTTTGAGGCACCCGCCGCCAATTGCTTCGCTTTTACCAGACTCCGTTCGGTTCGCTGGCGGACTCGAGCAAACAATCACCTTCTTACCCTCTCCCCCTTCTCCCCCTGTTTCTTACAGACGCTTTAGGTTCGTTTGGTGCTCGGACCTTGACTCTGTCAGCCGGCTAGTCATGGCTACTTTGCAACCACCGAACCTCTTCGTGTATGCTCCGGAGGACGTCTTCGCACTGCATCCGCTGCATGCCTCAGCCCAAGAACTAGGGGCTCTGACTGCAGTGGGGATTCGCCATTTTGTGAACGCAGTAGCTGCCGGTGAAGTTAAGGTAACCCAGCTTCGCAATTAATATCAACCACCGTGTAGTGGTTTTGTATAACTGCCTACTTATTTCTTAGTAGTAGGCATGTTTGCATTGACTACTTTTTGCGGGTTTCGGTTTAACTACCACAGTTTCGGTAATTATAATTCCTGTTAGGTGTCTGATCCAAGTGTTCCCAAATGCAGCTTCTTTTCTCGCAGCCGCCTTTGGCATCCCCCCTATTGACGGAAGAAAACTCACCCTTTCCTCATACTTTTTTAATGAAATTTTGCAAGCTACAGTAGTCGCCAATGACCATGCAACCTTCGTTATGAAATTTGACCTGGCATTTTAACGTATATTTAGTAACACTATTTTGATTCATTTAGTTAATTGAATTCTGCGAAAGCCATTACTTAATTAAATCGTCATTTTAGTCAGGTTTATTAAGATAAATGGCCATTAATTTTGGGGAAATTGGGAGTAGTCTC